CCTTAACTAATTTCCTAAACATATTTGGACTTTACCATGCCCACGCGGTTATTCTTACTCCATGAACCCCCATCTGTAAAGTACATGTTGTCACTGTCTTTATTAATGTCCTGATATTGTAAGTACTTTATCTTTTCCTTTTCACACATGTTGTCACTCACGTGTGTATATCTGGGATCTTGTAGAATCCCCACCATTAAATCTGGGTTCTTAATTGTTTGGAAATCTGTTCCCTTCTGATTCAGCCACACTGTCCATTGAGCCAATTTTACAGAACTTACTGTAGGCAAATTCCCCGTCAGAATTTATTATTGATTTATATTGCGATTTATATCCTGCCTTGTTCCTACAAAGGGCTCAAGGCAGCTTACATCATTCTCCTCCTCCATCTTCTCCCCACAACAACAACCCTGTGAGGTAGGTTGGGCTGAGAGCCTGTGACTGGCCCAGAGTCACCCAGTTGGCTCCATGGCTGAGTGGGGACTAGAACCCAGATTTATTATTATTATTATTAGAACATTATTAGAACATTTCTATGCTGCCCCTTGCCGAAGCCTCGGGGCGGCTTACAACACAACACAATACAATACAAAAATAACAATTTAAAATTAAAATTAATAATATAAAATAAATAAAAAATATAAACGATATAAAAGAAGTTATAACAGAAAAGTTATAAAAGAAAAGAAAAGAAGTCGCTCTGGCCAGATAAAAGATTGCCTGAGTCCCAGTCCCAGCTCTTCACCACTACGCCACCCTAGCTCTGTTAGAATGTATTTTAACCCTCCATGCGACAAATGTATCACCACCTTAATTCTATCCAGTATTTCCACTCTTGTAAAGCCCACATGGTTGTTACAGTGGCTTTTTCACAATCGTTTTTTTCTTCTACAGATGTTAAATTCCTACTTGTACAGGCTATTGGTCTCAGTTTACCTTCCTCATCCTTTTGATATAACCCCACTGCTATAGTTTGATTTGTCCAATGAAGACGAATATAAAATAGCTCCCCTTGCTTAGGTTGCCATAATTTTATAGCTCTCTGAAGCCACAGTTTGAACTGTTCCAAATTATTTCAATGTTCTTCGGTATGCTGCCACTGGTTTAACCGTTTTAGCTTTCATTATAGCACAGTCTGGGCTCTCTGGGCAAGTAGCACTGTAGCAACACCCATCTATGTATGGTGGGGGTGGAGGAAAGGGCTCTTCCCCCCAGTCTCCTCCAAACTATTGTCTCCATCATTATTCTGTCCTCCTTATATGCTCCCACCTTCACTGGTTTTGGCGTTCCTTTTATAAGTACTTCCTGTAAGGCTTGGGTTTTTATCTCCAGCCTGTTAAACTGTTCCATCTATTCTTCTAACTGTTCTGTCTCTGCTATGAAGATCCTATTTTTCTTCTCCATGTCCCACAATCTGTCCTCTTTTTGCATCAATTCTCTGGGCAATCTGTGTATTTCTATTTCCAAGTTATTCATCCCTTCTTCTAAAAATTCTCCTTTGGCACATCCTTCCTTCCAAACTCTGTATGTTGCTTCTAGACTGAAGGTCCTCAAACTCTTTAAACAGTGGGCCAGTTCACTGTCTCTCAGACTGTTGAGGGGGTGGACAATAGTTTGAAAAATTATGATTAAAATAAATTAACAAATTAATTAAAATGATAATAAATTAATAAATTAAAATGATAATAAATTAACAAATCAATTGAAATTACAATAAATTTCAAAAAATAAAAGTAAAATAAATTAACAAATTAATTAAAAGATTAAAAATGATTGCTCCACTTGCTTGGGCTGCAGCAGAAGCCCAAGACGATGCCGTGCCACCGGCCGAAAGGGAGAGCATGACACGAGGGGGAGCCATGAGGGCGCGCTCGCCTCAGTCGAGGCTTTTTTCGGCTCCTCACTGCTGCCTCGCTTCCGAGTCAGGGGAAGGTCCCCCTCACAAGTGCTCGCCTGGCTCCAGGAGGGGGAGAGGGAGGCCAGAGAGGCAAGCACAGGGCAGCTCCCCCAGCTGGGAGAGGGTTGCATGGAGAAGGTAAGGGCTGCTTTTGGGATGGGGCTGCGCCTGGCCGAACGGGGCACTTCCTGCCTCTCCCCGCCACGGGGATGAACATGGCAGCTGCTTGATGGCAGTGGCTTGCTCAGAGAAGGCCGTAGCCCTGCTCCGCCTCAGCCTGTCTGCCCCCGGGCTCGGTGAGGTGGCTACGGCTTGGCCTGCAGCCCAGGGACATGGCTCACATAATTAAACATAGATTTAAAAAGTTTTATCTTTCTTACCTTCAATCCTTTTTTACTGTCTTCGTCTCTCTCTCTCTCTCTTTCTGCCTTCCTCTCTTCTGTTTTCTGCTCTGTATTCCTGCTCTGTATATGCATGCAATGGGATGGGGGGTGGGGGGGAGAGCTGGTGCACGTGCAGTTGAGCTGTTGCAATTTGGCTCGTGCGCTGGCTCTCTGCTCAGTTTCAAAGAACTCCTGCACTGGCTCAGAGCTTTTGGACTCACTTGGAGATCACTTTCTCCAAGCAAGTCCAAAAGCTCTGAGGCGGGCTGTATAAATGAGCATGGCCTGCGGTCCATAGTTTGAGGACCCATGTTCTAGACCGTCATGCAGTAACAGTATTATCCTTAACTGTTTTACTGTATCTTCAATATTTGCTTTCCCAAAGCACAGCCCTGCAGTTTTATACATAACCTCCATTATATTTTCATATGGGTTTCTCAGTCCCGAGCCCATGTATTTGCTTGCTCCTTCAGAAGCATTTTGTTCCTTAGTATTAGCCACTGTTTTTCTTCTCATTTTAAATAGCCAGTCCCCTGGCTTCTGTTCCCAAATCCGGGGATAGTTTTTCTTTAAAATCTATCACCTGTCCCTTTTTTTTCTTTTAACCTAAAAGGGATTTCCATATACCATATCCTCACTTCATTCCTCTGGCTTCTGTTCCCAAATCCTGGGATCTATCATCTGTCCCTTTTTCACCTGAAAGGGATTTCCATATACATGGGGCCTCAGTTCACGACCAAATCAGGTCACGAACAGAAATTTCAGAGAAAAATTCTCTCAGTTTGTGAACTCTGCACTGGGTGACGACCACGATCGCGCCAGTCTCCGCCCCCCCAGCACGATTTTGCTCGTCTCCCCCTGCACAAGCACGCCCGTGATCGCGCCCGTCTCCCTCCTGTGCATGAGCGCGATCATCTCCCCCCGCAGCATGATCACTATCGCACGATTATTGTTTGTACTCTCCCTCCAAACAATAACCTCCCCTCCCACCTAGGTCAGTGCTCTCTACTGTACTGTACTTTGTTACTTTGTTGTTGTTACTTTGTTTCCAATTTTTGTGATTAAATCAAATATTTACAGAACAGATTAACCTTATTTACATTGAACCTTATGGGGAAATTTCACTTGGGTCTTGACCAATTTGAGTCACGACCAGAGTCCTGGAATGGATTAAGTTCATCAGCCAAGGTACCACTGTACCATATCCTCACTTCAGTCCTCTGGCTTCTGTTCCCAAAGAGGGCCATTATTCATAAAAAGACCCTATCCAGTTCCAAAATTCTAAACAATTTCTTAATTTCCTTGTCCAAAATGTGAGCTCATCTTTCCGTTTGGTACCAATTCCTTATTCCAAATAGCCTAGGACGTCCTGTTTTACAACAACCTTAGTCGGAGCCAGGCTCTAAAAATACCCTTCAGACGGAGGCATCCTTCCAGTTTGTTTTCCATTCAGTCGTCTCTCCCACAGGCTGGTATTCCTGAAAACCTAGTCTCTTTTACGATCCTGTTCGTGACGCCAATTTATGTGACCAGAACGAAGCAGTCCTTGATTCAATAAAGAGGAGACTATCAGGTTTCCAAGGAGAGCCCTTATCAAAGAGAGACTGAACGCCAGATCTGGTCTTAAACACTATGCATGTAACATCTATTCCACGATATATGGAATACAGAAATATACGAATATACGTTCCGTAGTCATCAGCAACAGTATCAAGAGGCCTCACTCACTCTTGCATTCATGCAGCTCATACTCGCAGCCAACAGACCCTCTCCAGGCGGTGATCCACGGGGACTGTGGGTGACCAGTTCAGCACCATTCTGGCACACGCGGGAGCTGGAAAGCCCAGGCATTTGAAGTTGATGCTATCAGCTTAGGCCAACTGGATTGAACAGCGATCTCCTCTGAGCAGAGCTGACGCGGAATGTGCTGGTCTTTCTTTACTTTGAACACACACGCTTGTCACATTCCATTTTGTCTCTGGATGGGATGGGGCAGGCTCATCCTATCTGTTATGTTCCTTTCTCCAGCCACTCCCGGCCTCTCAGTTTTGCTGCAAAAATACTCAATCCTGGCCAGTCCCATAAAGCTTTTTGATTCTCCATTTTCTTCTGGGCCTTCAGGTACCCATACACACTGTAGCACAGACAGGAAAAGAAAAAAAAAAAACCTATTCATGTCTGCTGATCTGCCAAGCGATGTCAGTTTTTGCAGGAGAGAGAGAAGAAAAGTTGTTCTTCCAAACAGTGAACCTGAGGGGTCCTCACGGATGGAAATGTTCCTTTCCAAAATCCAGTGATTTGGGTTGGACAAAAATGTATCAGCGTATGAATACATTATAGAGATCTGAAAGATATGACATGTATTGCGACCTCACTAAGGTTGGATGAGGCCTATCCAAGGCTTGGGATGACTAAGCACACACATCCTTTTGTGGCTGGCTCCTTAAGGAGTCCCTGTTCTTGGAAGCTGTCAAGAAAAGAGTACCAGATATTTTGCCTGAAGCCAACTCTGCATGCCGTGTTCCCTTTCAATCTACTTTTCAGCAGTTATATGCAAGTCATATTTGGCACACAAATCTGAGAGCCACAAAACTCACCATCGGCACTTGCTAGGTGATCCAAAGTAAAAATCAACTTAAGTCTGCCACAAAAAAAAAAAAAAAAAAAAAACCCAAACCAAAAACATTTTCTTACCAATTTTTAAATCTGGGTTGCCCCATAGGATTAATTTAGCATGAGAAACATCATCTATTTGAAATGATAGAAGACATGGAAAGCCAAACTGACTGTCTTTCCTTCCAAGGATATTTGTGACAGAGAGGTTCCTTCGTCCCATTTTTCTTCACAAAGCGGAACACCGACTGCTGTGTTCAACCAAGACAGAGCCAGTTCATTTGACATTTGTACATGGTACGGAATGGGGCAATTTCTTGTCCTTTGCCACAGGCAGAAAAATGATCAGAATCTGGATGGCACCTGCTCAGGGACATCTACACAGTCTCCAAGAACTCGGGTTAGGATTAGTCCTAAGAGTTATATGGAAGGCGCAGGGCCAGGAGAGATGCAATTTCTGCAACCTCCATCTCTCTTCTACATTGCGCTGCACTAGATTTAAGGGGGTTCAGGGGGCTGTAAAGAAAAGGCAGAATCTGTGAAAAGTCCCCACATTCTGCTAAATCATAGTGCTTTCTCTCAATTAACACATATGGAAATCAGCTATATGTTTCTTGCAAATGGTAAGACAACCTTAATGGGAAATGGTGTATACAAACAGGGAATTATTAGCCTAATCACCAATGTGTACCATGAAGAATTACTTCAAGTTCTTTCTAAACAGGAGGAATCTAAAGTTTCTCTGATATATAATTTGCTTAACAAAACACCCCATCCCTATTGATATTCTACACCTTGTCCTAAGTATTATTCATACAAAATATTTCATTCGCACTAGGGTATCTATTCATACAAATGTTAGCTCTGCAGTGGGTGCATGTGCATGAGAAAGGGACACCTACACACCCCCTTGCACACGTGTAACATCTGATCTACTGAGCACATTTTTCAGCTGTACCAAGTATGAATCCACATACATCTCACAAGCACAGGCCTCAAGGTATTAGGCACATTACTAGTGATACTTTACTACATAATTATTTGATGCGATGGGATCACCCCATGAAGGGGATCACATCACCTTGAAGTAGAGGCATTAAAATCATTTGTCCTGTGAGACTTTGCTAATATGAAGTAAGATTTGTGCTCTACTCCAACCCATTTTCAAGTCCAGACACTTAAATAGTTTTTCCTGCCTTGAGCCTGAAAATGAAGGTCAAGGATTTTATGGAAATGGGTAAACCAGAAAAAAGGTCTGGGGAATGCTGATGCGGGTCCAGACATTATGTCTGAGACTGCCTCATTAACATTCACAGCTGGTTCATCCTCCTCTTAAGTAGATGGTTGTTCTGGAATAGCCCCTTACTTATGTGCAAGCTTTGGGCGAAAGGGTGTTCGGGGAATCAGGTGGCGTCTCCCATCACGGTCCTGTATGTCCCACTTGATACATTGCATTTTGTGCTCTGCCAGGCCATGGGTGGTGGGAGGCAAGGCTAGAGATGTGGCTGGACTCAGGACAGGGTTGACTGGTTTGTTGGGAACCTCACGTAAGTTATTCCCCACACGGAATCTCTTAGGTTGCCCCAGATCTACAGTAGGAGTCGGTTGTTCTAGGGGAACATCCTCATTTGCATGAGTTCTTTTATGAGATCTAAGTGATTTCCTTCGATTGAAGCCCTTTCTGCACTTCAAACATTTAAATAGTTTGTTTCCTGTGTGAATTCTTTGATGTAAGGAAAAGCGTGCTTTCTGCCTAAAGGTCTTCCCACACTCCAAGCATCTATATGGCTTGTCTGCTCTGTGAATTCTTTTATGAAATTTAAAATATGGTCTTAGACTAAAACTTTTTCCACACCACAAGCATTTGTATGGTTTTTCCCCAGTGTGAGTTTTTTGATGTAAAGAGAGGTATGTCTTGCGACTAAAATTCTTTCCACATTCCAAGCATTTAAATGGTTTTTCCTTTGAATGAATGGTTTGATGTAGTGTGAGAAAAAATTTCAGACTGAAGCTCTTTCTACACTTCAAGCACTGATAGGGCTTCTCTCCTGTGTGTGTTCTCTGATGACATTTAAAGGCACTTATCTGGTAGAATCTCTTTCCACACACTGAGCATACATATGGTTTCTCCCCTGTGTGAGTTCTTTGGTGGGAAAGAAGCATGTGCTTCCGCTTGAATCTTCTACCACACTGCAGGCAAGTATACAGTGTTCCTTCAACGTGGAATTTTTTGTGCGTTCTGAGACCACCCCTGTTCCTAAATCTCTTCCTACACTGCAGGCATTTAAATGGCTTTTCTTGTTTGTGACTCTTCTGATGAACAGTAAGGTTCTGCTTGTGATCAAAATGCGTTCCACATTGCGAACACTCAAATGTGAGTTTTTCTCTTGTGTGAACTCTTTGATGTGCAGTAAGATGATGCTTCCGGCTGAAGGTCTTTCCACACTCCAGGCATTTAAATGGATTGTCTTCTGTGTGAATTATTTGGTGATTTGTAAGGCTTCGTTTGAGGCGGAAGCTCTTTCCACACTGCAAACATTCAAATGGCTTTTCATTTGTGTGAATTCTCTGATGTGATTCTAGGACATGCTCCTGACTGAAGCTTTTTCCACATTCCAGGCATTTAAATGGGTTCCCTTTTATGTGAATTATCTGATGACAAATAAGACTTTTTTTGTGACAAAAAGTCTTTCCACACTGTAAACATGCAAATGGTTTCTCCCCTGTATGTGATCTTTGATGTGTTCTAAGATAACCATTTTGTTTGAAACACTTTCCACAGTCCAAGCATTTAAATGGTTTCTCCCCTGTGTGAGTTCTTTTATGTGCTTGAAGGGCTCCGCTCTGACTGAATCTCCTTCCACACTCTGAGCATTTAAATGGCTTCTCTCCTGAGTGTATTCTTTGATGGATATTAAGTGCTCCCTTCTGATTAAAAGATTTTCCACAATTCGGACAACTAAATGGTTTCTCTCCTGTGTGTATTCTTTGATGCGAGAGAAGGTCTGTACTCCGCTTGAAACTAGTCGCACACTCGAGGCATTTATATCGTTTGCTGCCTTTGTGATTTGAAGAATGGTCATCAAGTGTTGATTTCTGGGCTGACGTTTTTCTATGCACAAAGCGTTTCTTCACTCTCTTTCTTCTCTGTGTATTTTTTCTTCTCTGTGTATTTTGTTGGTCTTTCCCCCGCTTCTTCATCTTGTCTCAGTGCCCAAAATTCTCTGCCACCTCTGGCTACTGATCTTTTTTTCTGAAACACTTGATATGGTCTTTCATGTGTCTTCTTTCACCTGTCCCAGGCTTAAACAAAGAAAGAAAGAGAACATGAGTGCAAAGAAGGCACTTGTGAATCAAGGAACCAGCTTGATGTTTCTGCCCATTAGACAAAAACACCCTAAACCAAATCAAACATGATGTTTACATGTAGGATCAGGAGCAAAGAAAATTTCAGGGAACCTAGGAAGGCTGAAACCAGAGGAGCGTTGATTTAAATAGTTTTACATTGTCCTCCCCCACTGAAGGACAAGAACAAGCTCAGAAAACAAATGAATGAAAGGGATCTTCTAAAAGGCAACCTCTCCTTCTGGAAAGTAGCACTGTCCACTGCAGACGAAATCAATCTATTTTTTAAATTATTTTTATTAAAACATTTTTATGCCGCCCCATTCGCCGAAGCCTCGGGGCGGCTTACAACATTAAGTTAAAAAATAACTATAACATTAAATTAAAAATACAAACATAAGTTAAAATACAAAAAATAACAATATAAAAAACAATCTACTCTCCAATATCACATTCACTTCCATTTAGCCGGGCTGGTGCAGCATCTACAGACCACATGTCAAGAGCACCTGCCCATTTGCTTGTATAAAGACACTTCTAGAACAAGGAAGAAAAGCTGTTCCCAGCTTTACAAGGGCCACGATCTGGGCAAGAAAGCAGTTCACACAGACTCCTGGGTAGTCAGTCCTGAGCCAAGACTCCCCCAGTTGGTGCACTTTTGCCCTCTCCTTTGGGAGTGTACCAAGCACCCATCCCACTCCACCCTCCTCATCCTACGAACGGTGGCACCCAACTTCCTTCAGTTGACGAGCCAGACCAAGTAATATAGTACCAGTCAGCCATGCATTACTCCCAAGAATAGAAAAATCACAGCCTAGTTAAAAATACTAGGAAAGTTACTTTTTCCAGTTTTTAATGTAGACCTTAGAGGCAAATGAGATTATCCATTACGGATGGTCCCTAAATTTTATACACTGGGGTGCACATTTTTGCCTTGTAAGTAAACCTTTAAAACTAAGTGAAATAAACGAAGATAAATGAGGAGCCTGTGTTATGGCAATATGCTTACCAAGATTTTTCTCTGCACTTATACCAGTGCTATTGCTAATCTATGGTCACATGCACAGTTGCCTAGAATTTCTCAGAGAATGAGCCTGTGTTTTGCAGACACAACAATCTAGATTCAGTCCCCAGAATCTCCTGGAAGAATCATTCCCAGTATACCTGGTTTGGAAACCACTGCTACCTCAGATCCTGGGCGACTGTTATCAGTCTGAGGAGACATTACTGGTTTAAACAATTCAGGCTAAGCAGCTTAGGAATTGGCAGAGAAGAGATATGGCAAGCTTTGTAGGATGGAGACTTCAATCACTCATGACTCCAGCTAGTGCCAGGAAAGAATCTGGTCAGAAAAGCTGGAGAGCCACTGCCAGTGGCTAAAATACTAGGTGGCTGGGGAAACCAATGGACTAGCTCAGGATATTTCAGACATTTCTAGTACTTCACAGGTACCTTGAACAATACTGCAGTAATTGTGCTCCAAAGAGTGGGTTTCTGACATGGATCTGGCAGCCAGAATCTGCATAAACCGCTGCTGTATAGGCACCCTGGAGGCACAATTCTGGAGCATGAGCCTCTAGCAGAAGTCCTCTTCCTGAAGATCACAAGATCCAGTACTTAGAAACATTCCAAGGCAGTAAAAGATAATGGCAGAAACAGATCTTTGCTCTTCCCCAGCAAAGAAAATTTGAGTCTTGTAACAGATAGGAAGTATGCCAGCTGTCACTGACCCATATCTCCAATGAGAATTCACAAAACATTGGGAAATAAGAGCTAAATACAGAATAGACATGTAAAAAGGTCAGAATATCTTGATGTGGATTAACATAGCCAATATATTGGACTGGAACTGTCGAGTACACTCTTCAGGTGTCCTTACAGCTTTTTGGGGAAACAAAGACCCAAACCATTGTACAAATGGAATGTATTCCAAACTCAGTTTGCGAGCTGCTAAACTCCAGAAATGCAACCATGAAGAATCAGTCATGCCTCACCTGTTCGGGAGAAAACAGATCTCAGCTTTGGTGCACTGAGAAAAATGTTAGGAAGTCGTCAGCACCTGCAAATGTAAACAGATGGACATGTTCGTTCCTTTGGAGAACAAAGCAGCCCCAGCAACACTCCGTAAGAAAATGTTTATTTTCCAGGGTGGCACACACGATCCTCTCCCCTTTCCAAGCATGCGGGGAGTCGGGCTGAGAGAGGAATTGCAGCCTCCTCACAGCGTCGTTGTGAATATAGGCCGGGTGGGCGAAATCCGTCAGCCGCCTCACCTTCCCCCAACCTGATGCCCTTCAAGGCGATTGACTGCAACACCCATTGGCCGCGCTGGCTGGGAATCATGGGTGTCAAGCAACTCTCTGCAGGGCGCGGAAGGGAGGCGGCTTCACGGCGCGCTTCTCCCCTTTCGGGTGGTCTCGCTCCTCTTCACCCCCCACTCAAGCAAGGCCATCTTCTCCGACGCACGAGCCTCTAACTCATCTCCTCACTCCATACTCGCCAGGCGCCTCGTCGCCAGGCAACCGGCCCAGCTTGACGTCCCTTCCGGGCAGGGAAACTTCCGGGTGTGCCCCACTTCCGGCTGTTGAGGAACGTTGCCTCTCTAGGAAGCGAACCGCTCTCCTTCAACCCGTGGAGCGGCCTGTTGGCTGGGGAGGATGGAAACGGCTTCCTGGGAGAGCCAAGGAAGAGGCAACGGGAAGGGAAGCGGGCCACCTTCTGTCCCTCAGCGTAAAGGA